TTCTAGGGAATCTGAGACGATTCACCTAGACGAGGAGGAAGCTGAAAGCCAGCCTAGGGCATCGACATATACCGGGCTCTCATGCGATGAGGATGACCTGGACAAGATAGGGAGCGTAGCAAGAAAGCTACGTGCCCTGGAAGAAAAGGTGGAAGAAAAGGTGGGAACGAAAAAGCACACCCTAGCCAAATCTCTCTTTTCGGCCAGGGTACATGCACAAAAATTGAGGCGGAAGGTCAAGTTGGACGTGGAGAAATTCACTGGAAAGGAGGATCCAAATGTCCACCTTGACACCTTCCACAATGCAGCACAGATGGCCGGGTGCACTGATGCTGAGGAGTGCTTGCTCTTCTTCTCATCCTTGAGAGGGAGACGAGTGGAATGATTTAACGGCCTTCCCCATGGAAAGATTGGGTCCTTTGAGAAACTTGCCGAAGTTTTCCGCAAGAAGTACCAGGACAACTGCATCAAAAGAAATAAGTTCACCTACCTAAACACAGTAGGACAAAGGGAGAAGGAGTCCTTGACTCAATTCTTGACGCGCTGGAGGGATGAGGTCGATAAAGTAGAAGAGATGGACGATAAGACGGCCATGTCTTTGGTGATGAATGCCTTCCGGTCGGGTGACCTCTAAACCGAATTTTGTAGAAGGCCACCCTCCTCTTATCAGGAAGCCTATAATACAGCATGGGAGTATGCCGAGGCGGAGGTCCTGAACAAGAGCAAGCAGGAGCTGGAGGAAGGCTATACAAAAGTGAAAGCCGACAAGCAGAAGAAGGATGACCAGACGGGAGGGTCCAAGCCAAAGGCCACATATGACGGGTCCATCCACCAAATAAGGGATGAGAAGAAAGGAGAACAACACAAGCGGCCTTGGACGGAGAAGTGGTGCACCTACCACCAATCCGACTCTCACAACACGACAGATTGCCGGAATGTGAGGGTCGTGCTCAGGGAGATGACCTTGAAAGGGGAATTGGGTGAAATATTCGTTACGGGGCTTGAGGAAGACCCATAGGCGAGTACTTGAATCCACCCACATGAATATGATCAGGGAAAGAAGAGAGGGTGGATAAGATGTGGTCAAGATTGCTAAGCTTGCTGTAGACGGATCAGTCTTGATGTCTAGGACTTGGACCGTTGCATGGGCTGATAGCAAAAACAAAAAAAAA